GTGTGCACATTAATACTAATTTCTAAATTCCTAATCACTCAAATCCAATGTGCTAAGAATCCTAAGCCTTCAAATAGTAATAAGTCATATAAAGCTTACATTGAACATTATTAAACATGAGTTTAATAAATTCACACGATTTTTCAAACACTGTGTTGAACTGAACAAATTAAATCTTTCTCCACTCATTGCATTTAACAGTTCATGCATTGATGAGTACCATTTCCTGTTAATTTACAATGCAAAGTTGCAAATACAGTGCTATTTTTAGACTGTGCAGAGTTTTTATTTTTTCCAGCCCTCTTTCCCTTTTACAGTTGCCTACTGCCCCTCCAAGTTTGCAAAGATGCTCTTGGTTTTATTTTCATTGCTGTACAATTAGTGCAGTCAGGCATAACTCCATGCCCTGTGCTCAGGCATGTAAGAAACAGATGTTTTTTGCTGCATTTTTATCTCCTATGAATTTTCCCATATTTGCTGAGACTCTTCAGGGTAATTAAAATACAGATTGTAAAAAAATATATATTTACCTCTTAAAAATTAAAAATATAAATGGCATCCCTAAATTTAGCAAATTGCATATTTGCAAATAGCCTCATCACATTAAAAAATAATTAATATGTATTTTTCATGTCATTTTGCAGTGTGACCAAGAGGTGATGTGATAAGATATGTCCATTGAAACATACAGTGTATGGCAGAATCCATAGCAAAGATTATGATCAGAAAAATAACCAGTTCATACTTCCACTGAAATGATATCTGCTACTCAGACGGGGTAACTATCAGAGAGATATTAGATGGCTGTTTGGAAACCACAAGTATAGGTATTAAATGCTGATTATGTTCCATTGCAGAACTAAAATGTGAGCTACACACCTGACTGTTAAAATGTAACAGTAAATTGAAACAAAAATACCTTTAAAATCTTGAGGAGCTGGAACTGAAAGCTAGAATGCCCAGCGTGCTTTCAGAGAACAGATGCAGGAAACTAGAATGTTACAAGGCCTGGGTGTGGAAGACTATACACATAAAAACCTAAAATCCTTTTAAAAGTCACCCAAGCAGCAAAATACCATTCAGAAAAGTTTACACGTTTTCTTTACCCACAAAAAGCAAATAAGCACTTCCCAATAGCCCATTCCCCTGGTCAACAGTTCATAAAACAGTTTTAACAGCAAGGACGATAAAGCGAAAAAGGGTGTAAAACATAAAGAAAATAAAAATGTTTCTTAAACCACTCTTTTGGGACTGAAATGAACATTTCCTGCCGTAAACAAATCTCTCTAAGCTTTCTGAAAGGTGGTCATTACTATCAGCACTCAATTGTACTTGATTTGCATAATTACTCTCTAAGTAACATTTGATTGCAAAAACTTAATTAGACACTGCATAGAATGCCATCATCACCCATCTCCAATGACAGATAAGGAAATCACCTGTTTCAAAGTCCTAAAGTTCTTAAAGCCAACAGTTATATCCCCCTGCAACTCACAACTGGTAGCCCAGTGAAGCTCGGGAGGTGGGAGCCTGGCCAGTACCTGGATGGGAGACCTCCTGAGAAAAACTAAGGTTGCTGCTGGAAGAGGTGTTAGTGGGACCAGCAGGGGGAGCTCATCCTGCAGTCTTTGTGGGTCCTAATGCCCCAGTATAGTGAGGGGGACACTATTTTTTCGGATGAAAAGTAAAGCTGAGGTCCTGACTCTCCTTGGTCATTAAAAATCCCAGGGCGTTTCTTGAAAAGAGTAGGGATGATACACCAGCATCTTGGCCAAATTTCCCCCTGGCCTTTACCAGTCATGGCCTCCTATTAATCCCCATCTCTGGACTGGCTTCATCACTCTGCTCTCCTCCCCACTGAGAGCTGGTGTGTGGGGAGTGTATTGGCGCACTCTGGATAACATCGCATTATCCAGGTGGGGGTACACGCAGGTGGTGGTTGAGGGGATCCCCATAGTAAAGCGCTTTGAGTGGAGTGTCCAGAAAAGCATTATATAAGCGTAAGGAATTTATATTAAAAAGTTTAGCTCTGTCACTTTAGCGAAAGCTAGGATAAAGAAAGTTCGCTCTTTTTCTTTTTGGCTGTGCTTGTGCCAACATCACCACACCGTTCTCTGGAACCTTGACTGATGTTTCTTGCCTGAGGGCATTGCACAGCCTCCTGGAAAACAGCGCTGGCCTAAGTAGTCTGTAGCCCTTAGTAGAATAACGTACCTCTGAATACTCTCCAGGATACGAGGTGAAGCTGGTACTGGTAAAATCCTGTTGCAGAAGAGCATATGAAGAATTCGCTTTGGCAAAATGTCTTTTGGACACTTTGTATGGCAGATGTTAGAGGCTAGGAAGTGTTCTGAAGCTTCCGAAAGTTGCAAACAGGAATGTTGGCGCCACATGGGGACTGGAATGAATTACTGTGCTTTTCCTTATCATTTCAGATTTCATACACAGATTCTCCAACTGTCATTATTAGTCATATTACAGTGCATAACAGAGGCCAGAACCCTTATCTTCATGGCATTGAAAGTACGCCTGGACCTTAGTATTTTAACTGTAAGAGAGATGTTGGAAGGCAATTCAGAAACCACGTGTCCTTGCCACATGCACAAGATTTTGCACTGTCATTGTCTGGAGGTTGCTCAAATTCCAGCCATTGAATGTGCAAGATCTTGAATGGGTAGTAACAGTTTTAGACGTAGGTACAGTATCTGCCCTGGGAGAGGAAACTTTTAAAGATGGTCTTTTCCTGTGCTGTGGCCCACCAGTGACCACCAAATGCTGTTAACGCAGCAAACTGAGTATGAACAGCTTAGCAGAGGAAAAAAGAGGACACTTGTCGACTTTCAGTGCCTTTTTCAGGCTTTAGCAGTGAGGGCCAAATGACAAATGGCCTCTTCTAAGGAAGCAATCCACTTGATTTTACATTCTCTGCCAAGCTACATTTTGTAGGTCAGTAAAAAAACTAAAATCTTAAAAATGTTTTCGGCTTGATTTTTCCATAAGCCAAGATGAGAGAGATTAATTATCTGATGCTGAGTCAGAGATATTTTTCATCCCATTAGAGCATGGAATATTTATTAGAATGTGGAGAAGGATCTGCAGTAAATGAAGGTTCTATAGAGGCAGTTGTGTGACACATGGACGAGAGAAACTTTAAATCACTATGAATCGTTCTGCCTAAGAAAATGTCTCTGTGTAATTGAATGGTAATTTAAGTAAACGATGCAAAGACTGCTGTGGTATTATCTCTTGCAATTCAGGAAAGCAGCTCTCATCATCAACAGAAGTAAAGTCAGGTTTTAAACCAGACTGGATAAAAACTAATGCCGTTTTTATTATACAATTAAAAAAAGCAACTTTTAAATTAAAATGGACATTGTCATCCTTTGTCTATTGGTAATGGACACTGTATATTAAAGTAGAGAACAGCCTTTTTAAATACCATATTATATTATGTGATTAATACATATGCGTCATGTGTAATATATTGGTGTAGATATTATGTGAATGCTACTGTTCTATGTACAGTGAATTCTGATGGACATTTTAAAAAACATTCAAACACTGATGAGTGTTTTAATTTAAGTCAAGTCTGATTTTCAGAGGTGACAGATCCCATCGTCCTAAGGAGGAAACCTCTTCCTATACCCTGTAAAGGACCCTATCTTCCTGTATAGGAACCCTCTTCCTGTACCCACAAGGTCTGTACTCCAACACCACTGCACACACGACAACCGAATGTAAACTGAAATTGTACTTTCCCTTCGATAGCTCAGTAAAACTGTATTAGTTGTAATATTTATTAATCACCGTACTATTTTTGCACTGTTCCCCGAACTACGTTGCACTGTTTTTGTCCTGTTGTATTCTTTTCTCTGTTTGCGAATTTTGGCGCAGTTTTGATTACGTTATGTTATTACACGTTACTGTTATTGTTATTGTGTTACTGTTATTGTGTTACAGTCCATTGTCCTATCTTCTGTTCTATTTATATACTGCACCCGAGTGACTAATGAGGAACACTTTTCATTATACTATGCACCTGTGTGAGTATAATGACAATAAAGTTGAATTGAATTGAAACGTTTTACTGGATAAACGAAAATCTTTGCCAGTTTGTCTCCAAGGACCAACATGCATCTCCATACGGATTTTCTGTTCTTGGTTTCCCATTTGCAGCCGTATCTCCACTCCCCTATAAGCTGCACACATCCTTTTTAAATACTGACCACCAAACTATTGGAACACGTTTCCTTGGACACTCTTAGCCTTGTCTATTTATTCTCTTTTCTGTTACATTAAAGAGAATTAAAAATGGAGGCAAAGTCTCTTAAAAACGACCTGTTTCTTGAAAATTAAATCAATATCCTAGTAGAGAAAAACCCAGGACTTTCTGTGACACACATGAGTTGTGGAGAAATCAGTGAAACAGCAATTAATTAAATTAACCTGGGATAAGGGAGACGAGAGGAAGGACAGATGTTGACTTAAATAACATGTCACAGTTCACATTCAGGTGATGTAAGATATGCAATTTGCGTATTTTTAAAAAAATCTGCTGTTTTGTGCAACCGAAATGGCGATGTGATAAGGCAATAGTCACTACACACATGGTAAAACAGGACACAGTTCACCAGATAAAACACACACTACTGATTACTCCTCAATAAGATGGGTATAACTATATCTCCCCCCCCAAAAAAAAATTAAAAAACCCTTATCTATGAATCCATTTCTAAAAAAAAATAAATTGCAGTAGTGCAGAGAATAAACAGAAGCTGTTTCAATATTTCATTCTGGCAACTAGCAAGAAAAAAACAACAACCTTGTGGCAGGTTAAGATAAGGAGAAAAAAAAACACGAGATTGTTTAACCCCTTGAATCGCCAGTGACTAATCTGCTGGCTGCTGCGCTTCAGAGGAAAACCCTGCGCCTTGCCCTGCCAGAGCTCGCCCGACACCGCTGCAGGAGAGGAAGCGAGAGGGGCAGCAGGCTGCTCTTACCTCCAGCAGGTGGGGCGTGGGGTTGAATCCGCACAGGTTGCAGACCTGGGAGCCGCACTGTGTGCAGGAGTTGTAGTTGGGAGGCTGCGCCGAGCCCATGTTCAGCTCAGTCTTGCAGAGGGGGCAGCTGACCTTGGGCCTCTCTGGCTCCTTGGGTTTGGGGGTGGCGTCCTGCTTCGGGGGGGGCTGCCGCTGCTGCTGCTGCTGCAGGGGGGGGGTGCCACCTTGTTTCGCCTGGGTAGCCCCAGGCATGGCCCCCTGCGGCTTCGGGGCTGCAGCTGAACTGGCGTCGCTGAACACCACCTTAGGGGACGCCTTGGCCGGGGACTGCTGGGGCTGCGTGCTGGGCTGCGGGTCCACCGATATGAGGGTGCTGGCCTGGTTTAAGAGAGACGCCCCGAAGCCGAAGAGCTTGCCAGTCAAGCCATCTTGGGATGGTTCCTGGGGACCGCCCGGCGCCCTGGCGGGAGAACTTCCGGCGCTCCGGACTTGATCCGTCCCGGCCGGCCTGCTGGGGCGGTGCTGCGGGGAGGACCGCGACAAATCGGGCTGCGACGGCGCCTTCGCCAGACCCGGCTGGTCCCTCCTGCCCAGGGGGTCCAACGTGGGCTGGGCCTGGCTGGTTGGCACGCGCTGGGCAGCCTGGTCGGGCCTGGGGTGCTGGGAGCCGGCTGGCGGCCCAGGCTGAGAGGCGGGCCTGGGGCCGGTTTGTCTGTGGGGTCCCGCGGAGGGCTGTGAGGGCTGGGCCTGGGACGGGTGCTGAGCCTGGGGCTCGGGTTTGGCCTGGTGGGAGGGCGAGTGGATCTGCTGCTGGCTCTTGGAGCGCGGAGGGGTGGTCATGTCCATTCCTAAAGCTCTCTGCATCTGGCAGTTCAAACAAAGCCACTCCTGCACCTGGAAAACAGTTAAAGGCAGGAGAAAAGAGTCTGAATCGCCTGAATTCACCAGTTTTTCGCCTAGTTTAAACAGTTTTTGTCTCCAATTCATGTTTCGTCACGCGGCTTCAAGAGTTCAGTTTCTTTTTCGTTCTCCGACTTGCTTCTGTCTTAGGCGTTAAGTGGAAATCTGTGGTTTTTCCTGGTTTATACATTTGACTTCTTTGTAGTGATATGGGCAGTATAGCATTAGTTGGTGCACGTGCACAGGAATAAGGAAGTAACACAACGTGGTGTCTTTTCCAGTAAAGTTATTATTCCCTTTCAAATCTTGTGGAGTGTTAATGAATCGAACCCAGAATAAAAACAGAACATTCTTCCGAACCCACAGTGAAACTATGGGGAAGTCCATTTAAAACCCTAAAAAACATTTTTTTTATGTAAATGGTAGTGGGAGGATGGAACAAGCTGTTGCAGCGGATTATCCTAAATTCCTTGGCTTTGTTTAGTAAACATCTGGATGAGATATTCGAATCGATTCAGTACTAACTACCAGACGGGCTACCTGTAGATGGGCCAAACAGACTCTTCTCTTTGCGACTGTACTTGTGTTCTTGAATTTGACAATTCAGACCTATACATACTGTAGGAATGGACTCAAACTTCGGTAAACGGTTTTCCCCTCCAAGAACCGTAGAACACTGCCCCCCCCCCAGGTGTAACCTGGTAACACAACGGGATAACGCTCTCCTCTTCCAAGAGATCAAACTCACTGCAGCTGCTCGTGATCGGCCTCACTGCAATCCTAGCACACAGTGACCTGCATTCATTTGCCATTCCTGCCTGCAATGTGAACAGACTTTGAACAGGCCCCACAGTCGATGCCACACTTTGGAAACCATCCACCTGGGATCCATTATTTCAGCTTGTTGGTGCAGGGGTCACACAGCCAGGCAACAAAAGGGCCTCGTGCATGCTGAACCATTTCTCAATGCTAAATGCTGGTGAAATTTTCTTGTCTTATATAGCCATTTGCTCTGACAATTTCTAAAAGTCTTGAGCAAAAAAATAATTGAAACCTTTTGCAATGTGACAAATCAAAACCTGGTTAAAATTCTATAACATTGTTTTTTTGTTGTTCTGCTAAGAGAACAGATACGGACATCATTTTACTTACTGCCTCTCAACCAGCAAAATCGGACAGTAAACAAGTTACAGTAGGTGCCTGATGGTAAGCTGAACGCAGTTCAGTGATTCCAGCATCTGCATCCTACACCAGGCCAGCACAGCATGTGATCTCTGTGATCTCTGAATATCTCACTAATTGGACAGTCGTTAGTTATTTTGTAATCACTCAGCAGTAGCTGAGAAGCAGTAGTTAATTTTTAAGTTTGTGTCAACAGCAGGGGCCAAAAAGAGTAAAGGCTAAGGTGCAAGGTAATCTGAACACTTGTGCAGAAAAAGCCGATGCATTGATCTTCTGCTATATTGTTTTACTTGACCTCTATTAATAGTAAGAAGAATAGAGAGCTCTGTCTGAGAAAAGAGCTGACCACTATTTTCCAGTGCAACTCAATGGTTCTGCATGCAAATGAGAAAAACATACATGAGTTGCTGTTTGCATAAACCAATGTAATTAATTCAATTGTTTATAATGTGCAAGCTGTTCATTAATTGATTAATTGTAACACCAAATATTCCAATTAAAAATACTTCTTTCATGTTTCAAGTGGTAGATTTTGTTATTATGCACCATTAACACGTCATTTTTATCCTTAACAGAATTGTTTTAATGAGATCTTTCACATTTCCGAATGACTAATGTTTTCCAAACATATCAGTTTTATAAACAGTTGCTTTGGTAGAAAGTGACTTCCTTTAATATACACATTAGTGGAAAGATGATTCATCTTCAGAATTGTCAGAAACGTTCGTGTGTTTCTAGCACATCTTCATGGGTTGCCATAATCCCTGTGGTTCCATTTCTAATGACATCCAGCCAATTATTAAGTATTACTCAAGCTATTATTTATTTGACCTCTGTTATTGTATATTGAAACCTACTGGAAATAGATTATACGAGCCTGTTTTAAGACTAACTTTTGACTTTTGTCTTCTTTTATTAAAAACAATAAATGATTATAAATTTACCTTTTAAAAAAAAAACTGGGCCCACCAACCCAGTTTGGTAACTAGTAGCTACAGTAGTAACTAGTAACTAGTAACTAGTAACTAGTAACTAGTAACTAGTAACTAGTACTGATCCCAGGATCTTATTCAGCTGTTTCTTGAAGGAAGTCAGGATAGCGACTTAGCTGGGCCACACCCCCACCACTCTTTGGATAAAGAAGTGCATCCTGTTGTCAGATTTAAACGCTCTTTCATATGTGTCCTCTACATTGCGTTTCCCTGTTGATTCTGAAGAAATCCCTGGATTGATTTTGGCAGGATTCTGAATACCTGATTCAGGTCCCCCTGTGGTTTGATCTGTTCAATCTGTTAAGGCTCACTTCCTTAAGCATGTCGGTGGAAAACATTCCTTTAAGCCCCAGAAAGTATCAGGTTGCTCTTCTCTGGACTAATTGCAGAGCAGAAATATCTTTTCTAGGAGGTGGTTACAAAAATTGTACATAATATTCTAAATGTGGCCTTACTAGTTCCATTATACCATCTTAACATTATTTTGAATTCTACTCTTTTGGCTATATATCCTAACATACTGTTTTGCCTTTTTATTTTATTTTTATTTTTATTGACACCTCGGTCTTGTTCATAAGTAATGTGGGTAATGGAGCTCAACCAGCTCTCTGAAAAAAACTACTTTGTTGGTCAAATTTCTCAGGAGCCCAAACACCTGCTAAATTTCTATACTGCCTACAAAGACAATAATATAACACACTCGTCATTCTTCACACACCTGCCCAGTAAACACTGTATTGGCAATATCCAGTCATTAATTTACAATGTTTACTGTACATCTGGGATAGATGGCTATCATATTAACTTATTAGCATTTTGATGGTTCTGATCAGATGCATCTAAATTAAAACCAAAAATTAATCTGTTAATCTTCTTAAAAGTTAAAACAAGTTATCTTCTTGACAGAAAAAAATATCCTTGGGTATAATTCTTAAACCCATATCCAAGTTTAAATAACGCATTAAAAAAACTTCTATTTGCGTTCTCATAAAGTATGAACAAAATCAGCAGACGGGAATGAATACATCGAGTGATTAAAAGGAAGAAACCATGCAGATGAGCACAGCTCCGACCAAAGTGATGTAATAAAACAGTTGCGATAAAATTTCTTTAAAGATTATTGCATTTTTAAATACTAAACATATTTGCCTTGAAACTAATGATAATAAAAGGGGATACAAAAACAGAACTGAGTGTCTAATGGCTATAGAATTCCATGTTTGCAAATTCTAAATAAAGGGTTGTTTTTGGAAATCTCATATTGTGTCCCGCACAATTCGCAGGGGAACTGGGGATGTTGAAGCCTTCGAATTCTTCATTGTTTTCTATCTATTTCCAACACCTTCCTTTCTTTCAGAGCAACGTGCCACTGGCACTTTACTTTCAATCATGTATGAAACAGGTAGCTGGGGGCTGAACACACCAGACTGCTACCACAGCAGACATGGCATTCCTATAGGTTATCTTGCCTCACTTTTATGTGAATCTGCAGTATGCTCTACTCTCACAACACTACACTGGCCAGCATCTCATTCACAACAGGCACAGTGCAAGTGTCAACGAGCCTCTCGTCGCCTAGCGCTGGTCACTAAAGTCCCAGAGTCCACGCTCTTCCATCACGCAGAGCACGTGTTCTGGGGTGTGTGCCTCAGTTTGATTTAGACAAAACCCCGCAATGAGAGACGTGTACGTATTCATCTGGAGATTAAACTGGAATAGCCCTCAACTATTCAACAGGAGGTTAAATATGCTAAACTAACAGAATTGAAAAGTTAAGGATGGTCTCATAGAAATTGACTGCATGGCTGTGTTAAAAAGTCCATGAGGTCTCACACGTTTCATTTCATTGGATGAGCTTCTTCCTCGGAGATTTTTGCACTGGTCTTTTTTTTTTTTGTTTTGTTTTATAACATCACTCATAATGTATGCATGGTTCCATTACTAATTCATTGGGCTGATGCTTTTATCCAAAGTGACTTACATCCAGATCCATCCACACAGCTGGGTAATTTTACTGAAGCAATCTCAGCAAAGTACTTTCTTCAAAGCACAACAGGATTAAACCCACCCAGGACCTAAACCTCCAATTTTAAGTCTAGAACCATAACCACTATTGCCCCAATACTGCACACTGGGGCAATAGTGGTTATGGTACTGGGGCTCCATTATTGAACACTACTTCCCTACTTCTATACACTGGTACTCCACTACTGCCCCACTCAACTACCCCATTACGGCCCACTGCTGCCCCATTACTGCCCCACTACTGCACACTACTCTACATGGGGCACTGGACACTGTTAGGACCTTCAGACTTTGCTGGCTTCGTAGAGGTCTTTTCAAAACCTCCAAGCTTCCTCTGGCTTTGGAATCAAGGTTGGACATACTGACTGTCCCTGAGGTCCAGCATCTTCTCCATTTCTCCCTCGACGTCTTGTCATGTGTCCTCTGCCACTCTGAAAGCCAGGCCATGGCTCGCAATCCGGGGCTTTCAGTGAGTCCACCTCATGAGATCAGAAGACACTGCAATATTTTCCCTTAAGAACTCAGAAGCCTCCTCCCCATAGTACTTTCCCAGAAGTCCAATGAAAGTGGAATGGGCTTAGCTGTGATGAGCATGGTTTACAGACTTCTTCACAGGACTCTTCCCTGATGTGGGTCCTTTCAGCATGTCAGCAGATGCACAGTATACGATGGACTTGCTCCGTCATCCTCCAGGCCAGCTGGAAAATACTGGCAAATTCACAGGCCTTGCTGCATTCCAGAGTGGGAGTTAGAAGCATCATCCCAGTACCTAGGTTAAAATGTTGAGGCTCGACC